GGGCAAGGCAGCAATAAAAAATAGTTCTGCTCTGCTCTGCTCTCCTCCTCAGACATCTCTGCCCTACTAGCCCTACAGTTATCTCAAAATGCCTTGGGGAACTGTTTTACCTAAAACTGTCGTCTAAAACTCATTACAGAATTTTTATCTACTGCAAACATCTTCAAGTGGATTTACAGAGGAACAAGAAAACTAAGTTACAGTGCTACAGAACTAATACAAGAAGGGAATTTGGTGAGGTGGATAATATAAATTCTTTGGTTAAGATGTCCCTCCAGCTGAAAACATGGATTGCTACATTTCTATCATACTTCATTTACCACAAAGAAAGAGTTACTTCAAAATGCAGCTAAGCCTCTGCTTTACAAATAATATGCTAAGATCAAATTAATAGCCTGAAAACACGTTCTTCTTTTTAGTCAAACAAATAGAAAAGAAGTTGATGTTACTCACCACTGTATCCTAGGAATGTCACGTAGATGTAATAGCCGATTGCAATCAGCCATAACGTATTCCCAACAAAATACCCAATGACAGAATCAGATATGATGACATCTGCAAGAGGTAACTGCTCTCAGCTGTTTTGACAGTGCACCATTTTGAAGCAGAGAGCTCCAAGTATTCTACTTACAGTTGATGAAGAACAGCTGGATAAAATGCAGGATGACTAGAAGAGGGTAGAAAGCATTCAGATGTACATCAAAGGCATATCCCCACTCCACATCATAATCTCTGTTCTGCTGCTTCACTAAGTACTTATTTGAAATGAACCTATATGAAAAGATATTTGAGACTGTTGTTAATATGAATCTATAAAGCTGACTGACAAAACATAGGTTTGATGTAGTAAGTCATGTGTGATCCCAACTCTCCACCACAAAGTTTCTGCTATCTGGGAATAAAAACGTGCAATAATCATGCAGACCAGACTATTGTTAAAACGATTTTGTTAAAACTCTCATCACATCCCTTGCATGCTACAGGCAGCTGAAATACCCTGCAGGTAATACAGAAACAAAACCCCTTTATAAAGAAGAGATCAGTGCTACAATTTGTGGCAAGCTACAGAAGCTGCCACTTCTCTCTGTAGCACAGGAGATGTCTTCAGTGAAGTGCTCTTACAGGATCAGCACACCTCACACAGAGATGGTTTATTTGATCTCTACAGAACTGATGCACTGCAAGGACAGGAGGCAGGAGAGTGCTCATAACATGTGCCTGTTATTACTGAAAAGATGTGCAGTTGCAATGTGCACTGCCTGGTATTACAGGCTACTGAATGAGCCTCAAGGCTCTTTCCTTCAGCTTAAGTTCTGCTGACATCAAAATATTTATCCCATATAGAGGAGGAACAAGAAGTCAATACATGCTCAGAAATAAGAGACCAGATTTTTCATGGAAGCTTCCTCTGACCTACTCTTTGTGCCAAGGGTGGGGGTGCAAAGAGGCAGAGCCTGGGTGCAAGGTAAGGAGAGGCGAGGCAAGAAGGAGTTTAGACTGATTAGGAATGGGGGAAGCTTCTGCGAAAAAAGGTGAGCTTGCACTGGAAGAAGGGACTTGAACCAAACTCGAGCCAGGTGACTGGTATTGAGGCCTGCAGGAAGTGACTAAAATACAGAGCAAAACCAGCAGGTGCTGAAGTCTTCCTGGCTTAGGAGACTGCATCCTGAAGCACAAACTGCTGGATAATGGGGATAGGGAGCATCACTATAAGCTCTTTCCCAAGCAATTTATGAGTTGCTGTTCCAGACAGGAGCATAGGTCAGGTGGACCTTTCGTCTATCAACTATGTTTCTTTTACGTGCCTCATTCTCAATTTTGCAATTACAAGCAGGAGTTCCTGAGGCCACTGTCCCTTTTCTAATCATCATCACTTTAAGATGCTATCTCCATCCCTAAGAATTCTTAAATGCCCTTGCTTTCTTAAGTTCCTTGTAAAATAAAAATTCTTTCTTTGATGCCCTCCCCTTGCTGCAGCACAGAAACAGTGGCTTCCTGTCATTTCATGTTTCCCTCACTGCTGGAGGACACATCTATGGTGCTGATGAGGCCTGGATTGTAAAATGATCTGCTCCTGCAGCTCTCTGGACAGGAGAGGATAAAACTGGCAGTGCCTACCAACAAAGCAAAAAGGTGCCAAGCACAAGACAGAACAGATGGGACTGTAGTGACACTAGCAGAAAGCTTCAGCAAGAAGCATGGGCCAAGTGTATATGGTCCTGCTTAGAGATTCATCCTCAGGCTTAACCTACTTGACTTCTTCATTCATTATTTTGATTGAACAGCTTTTCCTTTTTTTAATCACCTTTTTCTATTTTTATTTGGCATTACTGCTGAATATTAACCAGCTCAAGAAGAAAGAAAAAAAACTGGAATGTTCATCATAATACAGACCTTCTGACCATTTAACCTTGCAGGAAATAGTAAAGAAAGATATGTATTCTTTTTTAAGGTATCATTTTGAAACAATTACAACAGCATAAAACCTATAGTCAATACTTGAGTGTAAGTTTACCCCAAACAAAGAACCAAGTGTCTTACAAACAGCATAGGACTCTCTGTGTCTGAACAGCAATACTGAACTTGGCTTCAGAAATCACTACTTACCACATCAGAGTTGCAATCAGGAGCCCCACGCCTACGCAGTCTATGAATACAACCCAAAGTAGCAGTTTTATTGTTTCAAAAAAACCCATGTCCAACACAAATCCAAATCCTACAGTAGACACTGAAAGCAGAGAAAGATCATTAAAGTCAGCTGTGGAAACGAAAGCATGAGATCTTAAACTGATGGGGTTTTTTTAAATATTCTATTAAGAAACCTCCTTTTATTTTTTTCCTTTTTATTTTCCCCCCAAGATTTTCAGTCCAACAGCTCAGGGGGTTTTTTCCACCAAAAACTAGATATAATGCAATTTATTCATAATATGAACACTCATCTGTACTTGGTTCTAATTGTAATGCTCCATTCCAAACTATTTTTAAAAAAAATCAGACAATGCTACAATAGAACATTCTTTGTTTTCTAAAAGCTCCTTGTTAACCCAAACAACATGTGTAATTCTATCTCATTAAAGAGTTTTTCTATTATGAACACTATACACTATTTAATAGAAGGCAACTGAGACAATACTGAATTTGCAGTTCAGTCATTTATATTAGCCACTTTGTTACAGCTTAATTCTGCAATATACAGAATCTCACAAGGGTCTTTATTATTAAATTGTTTTTCTCGGGCCAGTTCTTATAAGCCCTCGAAAGAAATTTAATACACCCAAGGATAGCTCAGCTATTGCTTTGCGGACATAAAATAAGCAGGATGGCTTCTGCTGCGGTGTTAGAAACAAAAATGGTTTAATAAAAGGCAAAATAACAAACAGAAAAACTGGAGCCAGGTGCAGAGGTCTGGTCCTGGTAAAAACACTTCTCAAAAGCCTCATTTCTCTTTTGTTCTGTTCTTTTCTATCTGATGGTTCAGGCAGGACTTTTTGGCTTCTATCCAATTAGATGTTCTCTAGTGTTTGGTGAAGTCCCTGAGGTCCTATGAGGTGGCTTTTCACCTAATCGTTGAGAGAAACTTCTGGGCTTCTTTCCTTTTTTGGGGGACAAAGGTTAGTTTTGCCACTCTGTCATTAGGGGGCACATTCCTACACTTTATGGTAAAAACAATGTTTTATTCATAATATTCAAGTAAACCAAATATTCAGTATTTTTAAACAAAAACACTCCCATGTGGCATAGGGTTTTCTTATTGTCTGCAAAGTTACAGACAGTGTATGCAGCTCAAAATGCAACAGAAAATGTGTTGCAATGGAGAGTTCAATTCAAGAGTACAGCGTGCTACTCAAGCCTACTCTGATTTCTACTTCTCACCTTAACTTCAAAATGGCTAGGCCTTTTTCTTCTGTTCTACTTTGATTAAAAGACCATCCATACAGATTGGTCCTTTTGTGTGTGTGTGTCTTATCTGAAGGAAAATAAACGTTCATCCCTAAACTTTCCCTCCCTCTTCCTTATGCTGTCTGTTCTCCCGCACTCACCGCAGAGCCAGATACTGAGTAGCACTAGGAAAGCAGGATCATCTCTTGCCCATTGGTCCTTTGTCTGTTTTCTGTAGTGAAAGTTCCTGTAAACCCTCTGTGGTGAAGTGAAGAGGTAAAGCATCTGCCAAAGCGCAAACTCGAAGTCCATCTGTCGGAAGTGGAAGAGCCTCCGGAGGTACTTGTAGCGTTTTGCTCCAGCCGTGTGCCTCGCAGCATCTCTGCGGCTCAGCACACCATTGCCCTGGCTCCCAGAATTAACCAGCGTGGTTGGCAGCATCTTGCTAAAGAAAGAATTTCAAAAGATGCGCTTGATTTTGCACACAAATACGGAGTATAAATAAAATAACGTGATGCAGACCACAGCTGCAATGCTGAAGTGACTAAAATGGGCACAAGCATGAACAATGACATTGGTTGGAGCAAATCCAGAGGAAGCCATGGAGTTGGTAAGAGGGCTGGAGAGCCTCCCTTATGAAGACAGGCCGAGAAAGTTGGGGCAGTTCAGCCGCAAGAAGAGAAGGCTGTGTGGAGACCTCCTAGCACCTCCCAATATCTGAAGGAGGAAAAGAGGGAAGCTGGGACACTTCATCAGGAACTGCAGTGATAGGACAAGGAGTAACGGGCACAAACTGAAACGGGAAATCCAGGTTAGATACAAGGAAGAAATTCTTTACTGTGGAGGGGATGAGGCACTGGCACAGGCTGCCCAGGGAGGCTGTGCACGCCCCAGCCCTGGCAGTGTTCAAGGCCAGGTTGGATGGCGCTTAGAACAACCTGATCTAGTGGGAGGCATCTCTGCCTACGGCGGGGGGGTTGGAACCATATGATCCTTACGGTCTCTTCCAGCCCTTAACAGTGTACGATCCCACGACTTAGGAGCGGCCCGGCCGCCACTGCTGACGAACACCCGCCCCCCCCTCAGCGGGGCCCGCGTTCAGCTCCGGGCCGGGCAGCGCCGCTCTCCCCGAGCCGAGCCCCGCCCCGCGCCGAGGGTCTCACCTGCTGCCCCGGCCCGCGGCGCGACCCCCGCCCCGCCCGGCACCGCCACCACGGCCGCCTCCCGCAGCCTTCCGGCACCGTTCGTGGCGCAGGCGCTCGGGATCCTTCCCGGAGCCGCCCCGTCCCTTCCTGCTCCCGCCGGAAGCGGCCGCGGCGCCCGGCATGGCGGTGGCGGTCGGCGGTGGCCGCGGGGCGGGCGGCAGCGCAGCGTAGCGCCGGGCTCGCCACCATGCCCAAGTACTACGAGGATAAGGAGGAGGACGGGCGCGCCTGCAGCGGCGTGAGGGAGGATCTGCGGCAGTGCCTGCTGGAGAGCCCCTGCGTCCTGCAGGTGAGCGCCGCTGCTCTTCCGGGCCAGAGGCCCGCAGGTCGCCCTTTTAGGGCTTCTTACCTCTTGTTCGCAGCAGTTTAGGGAATTACAGCTTCAGAGGAGAGCGCACGTCACCGTACCGAAGCGAAATCCCCAGTGAACTTCTCTGAAGTTGAAAGTAAATCATCCTCAAAGGGCCCTTCCAACCCAAATTACTCAGTTGGCCGGAGCGTGGTGCTAATAACGTGGGTCGTGGGTCCGATCCCTGCATTGGCCTTCTCTTAAGAGTTGAACTGGATAATCCTTGTGGGTGCTTTCCAACTCAGAATGTGCGGTGATTCTGTTCTATGGTTCTGTCAGGTGTTTTGATGTCTCTTTGATGAGGTGTAGAAATCAAGTTTTTAATCTTTCTTTTTTCATCTGCTAGGAAAACAAAAGCCCTAAACAATGCTTGAGGGAAGGACACTGTAGGAGTTTGCAAGTGACATTCTTTGCATGCAAAAGATCAATGGTAAGTGTGGTGTGTCTTCTGCTACTGGCCTGGATGTTTCCTGTCCTTTTCCCCCCTCTCTTTAAAACAAATACATTGTTTCGGTAAGGTGGATGTCATTCAGCAGAACAGTACTTGCCTTTGAATCCTGATTAAACTGTGGATGTTGTATTCAATTCTCATGAAGAAGAAGCTGGAGAATTGGAAAAATTGGAAAAACATGTTTAAATTGGGTTAGGCTTAGAATGTCACATATAGTGATGTAGGTATTTTCACTATTGTTTTTAGTAAAGTTTTGGGTTAAAAAGTATTAGTAGATCAGGTAATTGTAAGGTAAAGCAAGCTGTCTTTTGCCTGTAAGATCTTTGAAAAACATCTATATAGAGAACATTTAAATGAAGTGAAGTAAAACTCACTGCTAAAGCAGGATATTGAATTCATGTTGAGTCATTAGTTTTCTTGGAGTACTGGAATTCATGATAAGTAAGTTTGTTTTTTAATATAATGAACTATCCAGTATGGAAATGACAAATCATTTTAAAAAATGTAATTAGTTAAAAGTTTTTCATATTTGTCCACAATTTTTTTTGCTTGTGTTTCCATAACATTTAAAACACATTTAAGATGTGGTAAAGATGATATTAAAACTTTCCAAACATGAGAAGTGCAAGGCTCATTTTTATTATTATCTGATGACGAGTGTACAGCTGAAATGGTACTTTAAATTTTTCTTCCATTTTGTATTTGTTGTAGCAGCTTTTTGTACCTCTTTTATATGAACTGTATTAATCCATAAAGGGACAAATTATTATTTCTGTCTATGGGAAGATGTTGCATATTGGAAGTTCGAGACTGCAGTAGTAACATATGTGTCTCCAGGTGATGTGTCTGTGTGTTTCTGTCTGTGGATTGTTAAGGGAGCCTGATGAAACTTAAGTTTCTAGCTAAATACCTCCAGTTATGCAGAAGAGGCCTGGCTCTTAAATGATTTTATTTAACTCTCCCAAATTTTAAGGCTGATGGGTGAAGTTTTTCTTGTCCTGTTAATTCTTTAGATTTCAATAATCAAATCAGTCACACTTGTTATTTGTTATAAAAGGGGAACTTAAAGACTGTCCAAAACCAAGCTAGACACTAAATACAGACATAATTTGCAGTAAGCAAAAAATCATCAGGGGTTTTGTCTTGATGCTGTTTTCTTTTCAAGGAAACAGAAAGTCTTATCAGAGGAGTCACTTTAGTACACTTTAGGTGTTGAAGTAGGGCCAAGGTTTAAAGTGAAAGCTGCTTGATTACTGGACAAGCTGTCTCATCATGAGTCTAGCTCTTTACAAATTTTGCTGCAGTCCTGAATTCTGGAAGACTGTTAGTTAATGGTGGTAACAGAAACCTCCTGAGTCTAATATCAGAATATGGCTGAGTTGCAATCTGTCACTGCCATCTTCAGGACTGGCTATCTAAGTTCAGCAGAATTCTCCCAAGATAAAAGTATGTTTTTCTGCTGCTTTTGGAAAGAACTTGCAGTTTAGCTTCTGTAAGTACTGCACTGTGGCTTTTATTTTAGCTTTGCCATCTTCTTTAGCCTTTCATTCAATGCTTTTGCTGTAATTGCCAAGAATAAACTTGCAGATTTTACAAGATGAATATTGTTTCTGTTTTTACTGGTTTATTTCTATTTTTTCCAGAAACTGTGTGTTATTTAACTTGTCCCTCTCCTCACAGACATTTGTAGTGACTCCTACTTCAGCCAGATCTGAATTTTACTCCTTCACTTTATCTATTACATTTGCAAAACTGATCTAAGTGGATTTACTCTACCTTGTTTTTCATGGGTTCCTTGCCATCCTACTATGCTGTTTTATCATTTATGTTGTTCATTTCAGAATGCATAGGATACTTACCACATAATTTTAGTTTTGTGTGAGGTTTAAGATCATATAACGCCTCTTTCATCGGAATCCCCTGTGACTTGTTGGCTACATAACTAGTTTTGTTCTGCTTTATTCTGGCCTTGGTTCTGATGTTACAAAGTGCCAAGGTAGCACAAACACTCTATCATATCTCTTTGGGAAAATACGTGCTCTTAATGTATTGTCTTCAATTTTCAGTTGGATACCAGGGCAAGATTCAGAGGAAGGAAGGGATACTGAAGTCCTCGTCAAGAGATCTTGCCATGGAAATTTGGGGCTCATCAGCACTCTACACAAAACAGAGACTAAAATAAGAAGATGGTACCTGCTGCATCCTTTCATGCAGTGTTTTCATGGAAGGTATCTACTCCTGAGTATTCCAACAGATTGACCTGGATGTGTATTTAAATGTTAGAAAGAAGGCAAGCATAAAGCTGCAAGTTCTGGCCAAAATGGGTACCTGTCATGTACTTGCAATAAAAATGTGAAATCCAGAACAAGCTGCAGAAGTTTTAATTCTCTTTTGAAGTAAAGTTGTCATTTGTGACTCTACTGTAAATTCTGATAATCTTTTACTATTCGAAATAGTACAAGGTATGGAACTGGGAGTTCACTTGATGTGTTGAGGGAGAGTTTCTGTAGTAGATGAGTATCTCAGAGGGTTTCTAAGAATAGAGCTATTTTCAGAGATGGTGAATCGACCAGGGTTGTAAAATGTGTGTGCAAGCTGCTTCCTCTCCAGTAGATTTGCTACCCAATAATCCTGTAATAGATGGGAGCGGTGTTGTTTTTCAGTCCCACACTGCTAAGGAAGTGGGATTTATGGGAGTAAGAAGCATTAAATAGTGCTTAAAGCATGACTGTGGTAAATGTTAACTGCTTCTGTATAAGACCTGCTTTTTCAGGGGACATTTTCTTCCTTCAGTGTCCCCGCCTCTTTAAGTGTCAAACCTTTGAGAAATAAATGGTGTTGTAACTCTTACCTGTGGAAACTCAAATAACTTCAGACAAGCTGATTAGAAGCAAGATGAGGAAATAGTGAGAGGGGAGAGAGCCATAGTAACTTCTTTTCTTGGCTGAAGTTTATAGCCAAGTGTCTGATACACTTTCAGTCTGATCAGATGTATGCAACGCTTATTGTTTCTAAAACTGATGACGTCAGTTTTAGAATTTCAGAATGAGCACGTTAACTATTTAATTCTGTCTTAAGCAACTGTTCTGTAATGAGTCAGAGAATGTTTGTATTCCTTGTATGTGTAGGACTTTATTTTTGCCACCTAAATCAACTCTGATTACACATTTTTGTGTTCTGTTGATCATATGGAAGCTGTGGAAGTACATTTGTTCAAGTACTGTAAGCATCCTTTGTTTTCCACAGCCTACTTACCATATTATCTTTTTGCATACACTAAAATGATAATTTATGTCTATAAGAGTATTTTTATCTTAACACTCTAATTCCACAGTATTACTCACAAGCCTTTCCCATGGGGAAAAACATGAAAAAGGTACTAAAAATAAATATAAAGCCAGATGGCAGGTGTTTAAATGTCAGTTAGAGAGAGGAGTGGGAATGATACGTGAGTTTGATAGTCAAGGACTCTTTCATGGTATGCCATTCTTCATGGGTTTGTAAGTTGATTGTTCAAGTGGTCTTTATTCCTTTCTCAGCCATAAGCACTAAGCCTCTCCTACTTGTACTACAGCAACTCCTTTTGGAAGGGAGCAGAAACATTGCTACATCATAGACAGACACATAGTTATTTCTAGTAATCAGCTTGATCCAGTGGAGATCAAGTGTTAAAATTAAATCTATTGGATATTTATGGATTTAATAGTTAACAGAACACATGTATTATTTGATCCAATAGAATGTCAGTGTCAGAACTTCCTAATGGTTCACTAAACTACCTGGGACAGTATGAGAATACTGTAATAGGAATCACAATACTGATTTGCTCAAGAGACTTATTCAATTCCAATATTGTGTAACATAACACTCTGTCTAAAGTAATTATATAATTGTCTTGGGACTTTGAGCACTGTCCTACTTGAGAGATATTAATGGTCCTTTGAGAAAAATAATTTATTTCATTAATGCCCCAAGTCCTATGCATTTGATTACGGCTTTTTCCCTAATGCACAAAATGTTTTTATTTAAATATATTGATGTTTTTGTTTCGTGCCTTGTGCTGCATTACTGACTTTTACTAAAAAAACGCATGTTTCTATTCTTTGGTAGATTTTGCATGATGGGATCTGTGAAATTGAGTTGTTGAGGACCAATGGTTGGCATGGTGCCGAAAGGCTAATACTAGTTTCAGAATCATAGATATAAGCAGTGCTAATAATTAGTATTGAATAACTAAAGAATAGAGTTTGCAAAGACCTCACTGCTGCTCTTGTTCCTCTTATTTGTTTTCCATGATGGAGAACCAGAGGGTGCTAAATGCTGTCGAGACTGATGTCGCAGGCTGTGGCTGTGGCAGTGTTAGGACCTGTCCCTGTTACAACATCCTGTTTTAGCAATTAAAATGTTCTCTCTGTGGTCCAATCCTGCAAACACAGTTCTATTTACAGAGCTGTAAACACATATTACAGAGCTGCTGACATGTTTGTGATGATTAAAAATAGGCTGTGGTCATTTACTCTGAAAATTCTTCAGGCTGTTACCTGTTCTTTCTGGTCAGTACAGAGCGATGAGCATATGAGTCTGTTTAACGAAGGCCCACGTGTACATACATTGAAAAGTGAGAGAAAGGAGTTGTTTAAAAAGTATCACACATTTAGTATTTAAGCTGTGCCTCTCAGAAGGAAAGACAAAGTATAAAAAACCTTCACTTTTGAAATATTTTCTGCACCCAGACTGGGTGTGTTTGTAGTATAAAGAGCTTCATTATTTACTGGGTGGCATAAGGAATTGGTTGTCCAGTCTCTCTTCACTTCTTCAAGTTTCTGGAGAGTAGCATGTTGGATGAGATGCTTCTTTTCAAAGAAATCATTTAAAATTACATGTTTTCAGTGAAAGTCTGGTGCAAACTAGATTGACACCTTCTACTCATAAGAGCAGCATTAAATGAAGTCATCATCTAAAAATGCAGCCACAGAATGTAGGTGATGAGCAGTATCTGTTGTTTAAGCCTGTGGTTAGAAAATTTACAAATACAGAACTTTAGCAGCTTTGTTAATGTGATGAATTTTACACTCCCTTGATATGTGGTCATTTAGAATATAGTATATTTATTGCAAATATGTGTCTTGTCTAAAGCTGAAGAGCACAACAGCTTAATTCCAGTCATAAGTTGTAGTTGACAGAATAATAACCAGAAACCTTAAGATCCTTTCTCATATTTCTTTCTCCAAATCTGCCTGCTGAATTTTCTATCTCTGGCATGGTTTTATTGCAGATATCTTCAGAAAATCATTAACTAGTTATTTCTGTAAGTGGCACCCTTCACAATGACTTGGTTGACAGTCTGTGTAGGAAGAAAATTCTGTAAACATAAACATAGAGAGCAGCTTCTTGAAGTGGACTATGTTTTATTTTCAGGATTTACAGAAGGTTCATTTATAATGTTCTTGAAGGCTGAAAGTTTAAGAAGCAACAAGGTTAGCATTTTAACAGTTGCTTAATTGGGTCAGTAGAATGTGATATATTTCAAGTAATAATGTATTTTAGTAGCTGAACATTGGAAATATATTTTTATGTCAAGCTGAGGTTGATGTGTCTTGATGGAGGCTTTCATATGCAGTATACTTTTTTGGCTGCCCTGTAGATACTAATGGGCTGCAGTGAAATGGAATGGAATAATTTCCCTAAAGGTTTTTTAGTAACAGAGGAAATGATACAAGTAAATCTCTGTGACCTAGAATAAGATTTTAAAAATCTGCAATATTGCTACTATTGCTTTAAAGGGAGCCACAGAAAAATAGCAAAGCAGAAATTGGCTTGTAATTCATAAGTTCTAATGATAAATTGTGCTACTGTAAAATTGTATTATGTTGTCTTTCATTACCACTCAAAAGAAGAGGAGTATGAACTTTTCCTAGTCAATTTGTGACAGGAACTTTTGAGGCTTTTTTGGTCTTTCTGAGGTCACAAAGGTCTAATATTTATTAGCTGTTTTCTCAAGCTTTTGCTTCTGTAGCAGCTGTCCCTCAGTAATGGTCATAGCAGGATGATTTCTGGGATTCTTAGTGGGAAGAAATCTGTTACAGGTTGTTGGATTCTTGACATGCTGAGGAAGATGAGAGTAACTAGTGCATTGAGGGGATTGATTATTGGATATGTAAAATTTTGTATTGCTCAATTTATGGGCAAAAACTCCATAAAGCCCTTTGTCAGCTGAGACTGGACATTCAGGTCCCTTCCTGCTTTATATTAGTAGTTAAGGTAAGAGTTTGACACCTTTCATCTAGTCTGACCTTCTGTGAAGCTTTTTATGCCAGAGAAAGGCATCAGCTCTTGAAAATGGCGTAAAATCTGATTATGTTTTTTCTTGATAGAATATTTCAATAGCCAGTAATCCCTCTGTAGAAAGAGCATGTCTGTCTTGTGATTAGAATTTGACTTCAGTTTTCACTTCTGGGAGAAGAGGGGATGGCTCTGCAAAGAGGTTAGTGGTATCTTATGTTTTCCTGCTGGAATGCATTTAAAAGTTAAAAAATGAAAAAGATGCAATGAAATGTGTGGATTGACTTCCTAAACTTGTGGCTTGTGTTATACCTGCCTTCCTTAGTCCCATTACAGGGGGAAATCTGCAATCTTCTTTTAGGAAGGAGATAAACCTCTATTACTGATTTTTTCATTGATCTCCGTACAGGTAAAATCCCTGCTTTCTTTTTACACTATTGATTGTGCTTCCAAGGTGCGTGTCACATTTTATCACTTAACAGGCCATGTTAAGTTGAGATCTTGTGTTCAATTCCCTGTCCCTTATGACCCCTGATGCCTTTTTCAGAGTCAGTATTTTTTCACTCTGATGTTTTCCCAGTGTATGGCTTGTTTTCCCAGGGTGTAGCTTTGTGTTCTTTTCCTGGATGTATAACCTGAGCTATGGCCATTGAAGAAGAATAATAGAAGTTTTGAACAACATGCTTTATCATCTGTTCCAGAACTTCCATGTGATGGCCCAGTTCTTTTGTTCATCAGTGTCAGCTGTTGGGGTGTCCACAAATGCAGTTGGCCCTGAGTTTATACATATGTACACACCTTGGAAGAAAATGTGAAATAATCTTAAAGCTGGTAATGGTCCCAGAGCAGCTCTCTAAGTACTCTACTGAAATACAACTCCCCTCTATTTGTGAGGTTTCATTACATATAGATTAGGAAAACAATCTTACAAAAAAATCAGATAAATGGAAAACCTCTCTAGCACATCCATTCCTGCCCTGCTGGGTTTTCTTGTATTTTGCCCTGGGTAATTCAGACTGCTCTGCCCACAAATAACACGGTGATTTTCCACATCCTCCAACACTGGTGCCATGTAAGGCC